GATGGATGGATGGATGGATGGATGGATGGATGGATGGATGGATGGATATTGTCTAAGTTAAAGCACTTCAATAACTCCTCTAGGTTGTAAATGTTTGCTGAGGCCATAAAAGATAAATGCTCATGAGGTTTGGTTTAATGCTCATTATGATGACATAAAACTGTAAAATATTAAACATCCTAAAGCTGTAGTTTGCATTCAGAGTTTTTTATTTATTTATTTATTTTAATCAGTACAGAACTTTAAGCCATAAGGCTTTTCATGTAAAAATACTTGCAGAAACATGCGCGTTTGAGAACGGTTCCTCTTACCTTGACCTTAAAAGCCTGACCATTTTTAAAAAATACATATTTCAAAAGTTTTTTTTTTAATTTCCAGAGAAATATGAAATAAAAAGTAATTGATAATGTATTGAAAAGTAAAAAAAGAGAAGACCATTGATCTGACTTCCTGATGTTAGCTGGGATGCTAATGCTAGTATGACAAAAAATCTGTCATGTTTTATTTTTGTCCTCGTCAACAAGTTGCCAATGTTTTGTTAGCATATTTGCCTATGAAAAAAACAAACTTTTTACTGCTACTTGTACAAAAGTTATTGGTAATTCAATTATTATTGATTCTCATTTATTCAGAACAATGTGATACTTGGAGTTGAGTCAAAGTGCTCCAAATATCACTCCAGGTTTAACAAACGCCAAATGTAGGCTAACAAACACCTGCAGCACACATTTTGTTTTACTTTATGAATATATATTTACAGAAAATAGTTTAATGCTTAAAATATTAAGGTATTCTTGTTTTTTGAGCAGCTAACCTTAGAGTTATCCGTGTCCGTGAAACTCAGGCCAAAGTAGTCTCTCTCCAGCAGGTTCAGATGGCCACATACCATGTCCAGCAGAGTCTGGCCTTTGGCAAATTTCTTTTACAGATGCATGCATGCAAAGATAAATATAGAAAGACAAGAAGAAGAAAAGATAAAGGTAAAGTACACAATGCATGCTGCAAAATATTTTGTTTGGCAGGTCCTCTTTTTAATAATATCTCCTCTCTTTTAAAATAAATCGCACAATATTACCTACATAAATTTTAATTAAAAAATCTAATAAAAGGCACATTTTACTGAATATATTCATAAAGTCTTGCTTGAAGACATCCAAACATCTGATTGGTGACATAAAATTGCCCTCAGATTGTTGTCTGAGAGCTTCTTTCAGTCCTTCTTCCTCCTTGCTGAGGAGGAGGAACCCCAGATTACTTGATGCGACTATAAAAGGGGTGGAAAGACATTTAGCATTCATAGCGTTTAAACAGACCACACCTATTTCTGTAGCAGCCCTTCAGGGATGGAAATCAAGGCCTGCATGGGCTGTGCAGGCAGCTATGGCAAAATGATGTCTCCACACAAACATCCACAGATATGCACACACACACAACAGATCCATCTCCTAAGGAGACCTGGTTCTTGTGGCGACAAGGCAACCAAGCAGCTGTTGCCATGGAAACAGGAGTAATAGGTCCCCTCTGTATCTGTGTATGCCCTCTCACTTTCTCTTTCTCCGATTATTAAAAGGCCACTGAAAATCCTTTGTTCAGTCCTTGTGAGGAAAAGCTGACAATACAGTGAGCGTGACTTAAAAACATTTGAGGAGGGTAATTTATTTAAGCCCTACAACGTAATTTGTCTTCTGTCAGACAAATAAATAATTATTTGGACTCTGCAGCGCAGAGGCTGCCACTTGTGAAGCAGTGAGAGAATAATGCTGATTAAAAAAGACACGTTGGAGGTTTTATTTTCCCCACTCAAAATGAAACTGCTGTACAGTTCTCGGGTGGTCCCTAAAGCGCGGGAACCAATTCAGATGAAGAGATTTTGTTGTCGCACCAATTGGTTCAAATTACATTTCTGTCACTCGTTGTGTGGCTGATTGTGTTAGCAGTCGTTTGGTGTAATCCTGGGAATCTTTTCTACTGATTGCCTCATCCAAAAAAAGAGAGCTTGTTTCGATATACAGTAAGGTTACTAGTAAAGTTTAGTGGGGCACTTTACAGTAATGGTGTTGTCCCAGTAAAAATGCATCTTATTTTGGATTAAAATATGTTCAGGTCCTTAATGATTGCTGATAAAGGCAGAATCTGAATAAATACAAACATTCAGTTTTTGGACTCAGAACTTGGAGAAATCTGTTTTAGTACGACTGTAATCCAGTATTCAAGTATATAAATGTATGATTTAAGTCAAAATACTCTAAAGATTTAATATATTAACCTCACATTGTTCTGACTGTGGGAAGGAATGGGCAAACAGTTCAATAAAAAACTGAAAACTTGAACAGATTCACTTTAACCCTTACAATTAAAAAAAAGCTGTATAAATAAACACTTTAAACACAAAAAAGTAAAACAGTTAACTTGCAAATGGGTAATGCAATGCTTAAAGTTTATTTTTAGCCATAATGTTTTTCAGAATAAGCAAAACTAGAGCAGTTCACTTCAGTTTAAAAAAAACAAAACTAATTGTACCACTTCGTTTTCATATAAACAGAAGTCCAAATCTTGTGCACTTTTCTGACAACTGACACAGATCGTTTCCTGACTCTATGTAGTGTACTCTGCAACTCTTATCTCTTTTAATCTTAACTCTAGTTTGCAGCTTGCAGAATGAGTCTATAACCAGAAGAAAGACGAGGCTGCCATTGGTGGCATTATAGATGCACAAAGGTGGTTCACCATCAAATGAAACGTTGAACTCCATATTAAATATATATTTTAGTGTACTGGCTTAAACACAAAACTATGATTTGCTCATATATTTGAGGTCTAGAGCTAAAAAAAGTATATTTTAAATGTGATGAGTCGGGGGTTTTTTTACACTCTGTGATTCCATATCAGGGTTTTAATGTAACTAAAAAAACAAACACATCAGTCTTGACCCGATGGGGGCCGAGATGGTGTAGAGGCAGGGCAGCTGACTCGGGACCCAAAAGTCCCAGGCCCGATCCCCAGTCATTGCACATCTCACGGTGTCTCTGAGCAGCACACCCTATCCCCAAATGCTCCCCAGGCACCTTCAACAGCTGCCCACTGTGCCACCTGGTGGTGGATGGGTTAAATGCAGAGAGCCAATTTCGCCATTGTATGGAAATATACAATGATGACAATACATAACACGTTATTATTATTATTATTATTATTATTATTATTATTATTGAAGCCCAATATCCTTATTTCTAACCAAAGCCTTAATACATGAGGAGTTATTTTTGATACATTAAAACTAGTTAATGTAGTATATTTACTATAACAGCACAACCCTAGGTAGAGGACTGAACACAGGGAATGCAGTCGATATCTATACTGTTGCGTGCCAAACGTCGATAAGACGGTCCAGCTGCTTCCACCGTTGCTTTTTATTCCTGTTTTCTATTTGCTCAGTAAACATAAGACTCTAATTAAAGTAATGATTTCCCTGCATGGTTTCCTTCCATCTCTGCCTCTGTCCTCCCCATTCAAACTACAAACATACACCCCTCGATTCGTCCTCCTCTTCATCTTCCTCTCTACCTCTCCGTCCCCTCTTCATCTTCTCTCGTTCTATTTTCTCCCCGGTCAAACAAAAGAGCGCTCATCAGTCAGTTCTATGGATTTCCTGTCAAAGCCCACTACCTCGAGTGTCACTTCGCAGATGACCTGAAGAAATGTGTGTGCGCATGCACGCATGTAACTAAGACAGAGGGAAAAGCTGGGGGTGGAGTTGAAGGGAAGTGTGTGTGTTCAAAATGCATTTATTTATGTGAGCTGGTCTGCGTGGCAGTAAGGCATAAAAGGAATGGAGTGGACTTGAGTGGAGCTCATTCTCAGCCACATCACACTCCACGAGCAGCAGCAGCAGCCAACAGGGCTTCCTGCACTGGTTTATATGTGACCTGCCCAGGATTTTCCACAACTATAAAACACTCCCTCTGACATCTCTCAGAAGTCCTTTTGGATAAGAGGAGAAATTGTCTTCAGC